GTTCCCATTCGTAACAAGCACATACCATGTTCATATAGCTCGCAGACTACCTTCCGGATACTTGGTCCAGCCGAAGTCATAAGCGGGAGACAAGATCATGTAGATACTTAGATCAAAGGACACATGTGCATATGTACCCGATATAGCTTATAGTCCCGTCGTTGGTGGTATCCCGAGTACAAAATAGAAATCCAAAGCTTACCAAACGCATACATGCGCTAAGAAATACAGCCTGGGTGCGCGGATGGTCCCGCGTGGGTCTTGGTGCTCACGGTGGTCAGTACTGCGGTGTATGCAGATACCCGAGTGACAGCAGTCACAAAGAGCCTGCAGGCACTACAGTAGCACAATCAGGCATCAGGAAAGTAGACTAGCATACTTGATAGGGAAGGGAAGGCATGATGGAGGAAGGCAAGCTAGGGAGAACGGAGCGAGCTGTGCGAGGAGAGAGAACGGTGATGGCCGAAGGGCGGAGTTCCCACGACCCATCCGCTGGTCGCGACTTCTGGGCCAGCGGATGGGTCGTGGGAATCTCGGCCTCGGCCATCACCGCGGGTCACCCTGGCTCAAGTACTGGTTGTGGCGTACCTCGCTTGATTGGGAGCAAGGTAGGACACCCTTATCGTAGACATACTTGCTCCTGTAGTAAGTAATCCGGGCATGAATGTTCCTAGTGAAAGACCAGCTACTAGGGCTTGCCCAGTTGGAACTTGGGCACTGAGGATTTGTGAGTGGCGCTGGATTCCCAAGGATTAGAATATACACACAGCGCTAGAAGTACGCTTAAGTCAGAATGCCTGCTGGTGAGTACTTGCGTAGTGAGGATCGGGATCAGCATGGCGTGTGTACGTGTGTACGTGTGAATCGTGACAAGCGTGACAGTCGCGTTGGGCGGCGAAGTGAAAGCAAGTTGACTTAGCGCGCAACCACCACCACTACTTCTACTTCCTCGTCTCCCTCACTTATGCCGCCCAAGGCTTCCTCCTCCAAGATACAACAGAAGGTCTCTAAGACTTCTGAAGCCCAGGACACGAAAAAGGCTGCTCTGGATGCGCTCGGGTACGGCTATGAGAATGTGGCCCATAACGAGGAGATCAAGACCTTCATCACGCGCTCGGTGAAGGAGCGCGTCGAGACATTTCACTCCATGAGTCCTGTTCTCCGTGGGCTACCGTTCAAATCCGCCGCCTTGAAGCTTCCCGATGCTCTGGACTTCACTGTGCTTGCATACCCTTCGGACAAGGACGTCACTCGGCAAGGATGGTCAGCTCTTCAGGTCAGTCCGATCGATACCAGTCTCCTTGGGCCCAGCCGCACACATCTACCATGGCGTGTTCAGCGTTGTATGTGACTGTGTGTCACCTCGACGTCTGGAGCGTTCGTGGTGGGTTGCGGCTATCGCAGGCACCTCGCGTTCCTTTACTAATTGGAGGTCTTAGACCGCTGCTACGACCGTGGCGAACTGGGAACGCAGGGTATTCGTTCAAGGCAAAGGTCAGAAGCATAACAAGCACCGCAAAGCCTTCGTCAGGAAGCTACATCTTGTCAGCGGTGACCAGGCCAAGTACCCTCCGCTCGCCCTCGCCGACGTCGCCCGGCACTTCCTACAAATCCACAACGACAGTCTGGCCAATTGGATATCGTCGTGGTGCTTGTTCGTTGCCTTCGACCTTGTCGCGTCGCATACGGCACCTTCACGAACAATGGAGCTCGTAATCACTGAGGATATGGTTCCATATCAACGCGTGTCCCTCGAGCCTGACGTCGTCGCGGTGCGTGATTTAACTTAGGGCAGAGAGAAGGCGGTCGTACTCATCTGTTGAATAGCGGTACGAGAACCTCATGGGCAACTACCAAGCCAACATTAGGGCGTGGATAGAGTCTGCGTGCGAAGCAGAGAGAAGGCATCGCGAGCAGGAGCAACTTCTCGCGGATGCTTCGCGCGAGAGCAAGCAAGCAGCCGAAAATCCTTCGCTCAAAGTCATGGAGGTACCCACTGCCAGTCCCCGGAGCGGTGGAGTCTACGATATGGTCAGCGAAGGCGCGAAACAGGAGATTGAGGCCATTGTCCAGTGCAATGTCGGGATGACTGCGCTTGCACTGCAACAGATGCTGCAGGTGAGCACTGACAGTGTAATTGCGGGCTACGTTGCACACTCTGACTGGCCCAGGAACAACCCGGCGACCATGAGCTTGTTCTGGAAGTAATGCAGAGCCGGCTCCGTGATCTAGTTCAGAAGGGAACTCTCAAACTGTACGTTCAACATGTCAATCGTTCAAGCATTCGCTGAGTCTACTTCAGTCCGGAGACTTGGTTCACCAAGAAGCACAAGGAGGAGACGAGCGCCACTGATTCTGTGATCGCCTTCTTGTGTGCTGCGATGATCTCACCTTTGGCGCTCTTGAGCAACGTGCCCTTATACGGAGGTCGCGCGGGCATGGCGGTACAGGATGCTATTATGGTATGCCTCGTGCACGGCAATTCTTCCTCATTTGTTCTAACCTGAACGCGATTATAGTGCTGGCAGCAACTAGCCCCCCTCGTACTACCTCAATGGATTAAGGATCTCGGAAGAGACGTGATCGGTGTAGCCGTCGAGATCGCTTTCAGCAAGGGTGACGTGGACGGCCGTAAGCTGCTTTGGGCTGTGGCGAAGAAGTGGAAAGACATACCCTTGCCCGCTTGCGACGTTGATTTCTTTCATGGCCGCTTGATCTCGACCGTCGACTTGGAAAAGGAGAATAGATTCCAGCGCATAGACGCAGAAGGTTCGTACAATGCCTTGGCTTACGCTCAGAGAACTGATACATATATTGCCCATAGCTGGTACGCCGGGCCCTTCAGAGCACGGTGATCGTCAGACTCCTAGCACTAGTGGTAAGTATATCCTATTCTCTTAACTCTCTTCATACTGAAGATTCTAAAGCGACCGGCTCGCAAACACCTGTGGATACGGTCAGCGGGGAAAACGACATCACGAAACAGCAGGCGGACAGTAAGTGCGAGACGTACTCTCGAGAGATTCACTGGCTGATCTTGGTCAAGATAATCTCAGTGCCTCTTCAAGCAAGGAGGCCCCCGAGTCTCATCTTCCCGACAGCGACGGTGAGTTAATTCATAAGCCGACATGACGGATGACTGACTGTCATATCAGAGGATGCAGCTGAAGTTCAGAAGGCACTCGACTGCTCGATGGAACTCTCTGCTCCCGCTAGTACCGGACCGAGTGCTAGCGACGATTCCCTCGATGCCTTGAAGCAGTGTGGCACAGACGGAGACGTGGGTCAGGAAGAGGGCGTACACCGGCAGCACTCGGCAGACGAGCTCGAGCATGTAACAGGAGTACAGTTTCCCCAACTTACTCTGAACCCATCTCCGGCGCCAGCAGCCAGTTCTCGAGCTCGCTCCTCGAGTTTACATTCCAGCTCTCGCACGCCAGTCCCCCGTTCTATGCCGGCAAGTTCACAACAGCACACGCCCACCACCGCGTCACCACGGGTTCCCTCCTCACAGTCTCCTCCCCCCCTTCCGTTGCAACGCGGCACTTCGCCCGAACCTCGGGATTCACTGTCTCCGACACCTCCGACGCAGGCCTCTTCACAGCACGCGCTTGGACGGCCAAGCACCACGCCCATACCCTCGGGTGCCGTGAAGACGGTGTATAGCAGTAAAGCTAAGGGGACTGAAAGCCCGTGGTTCCCTCCCCTCGCTGAATCGAACACGCCCGTCGATGGTTCAAGCGTGCTAAATGATCTTGAACCTTCCTCCGACAAGCTGCTCATCAGCCCTCTGCAACCGGCGTCCACCATCACACCGTACCCGACACCTTCTGACTTGGCTTCCCAACCAGACGTACGTGCTCATAGATAACGTGCCGGCCTTTAACTAATCACCTTTATGTATAGACGGACGATGAGGCTGAGAAAGACGTCGACCGTCCCGCTAACGCTGGTGAGAAACCCATGGACGTCGATGCACCTGAATATGAAGACCAGGAGACTCATGAGGACCGCGGCACGACCGGCAGCGAGCGAGTTCGTAACGCAGGTGATGGCGAGGAGGGCAGCGAGAACGACGAGCCGGCACGCAACGGCGCTGGTGTTGAAAGACACGATCACGAGGACAAAGTGGCGTTGGATCACAGCGCACGAACTCCGATTGCTGAGAAGGACAAGGATGAGGATGAGGAGGACGAAGACGAGGAGGACGAGGACACGGAGGACGAGGTGGGAAAAATGGAAGAGCGTAGCGGGGACGCGCGCAATGGTGCTAGTGCTGAAGGCAAAGATGCCGACGAAGACGAGGAAGAAGCCTTGCTGGCTCGCAACGCGCAAGCTCCCGCTGCAGGTACCGGCGAGATGGACGACGAGGAGGATGAGGAGGACGCCCAGAATCGTGCTGGGGATGAAGGCGGTGCTGACAAGGACCAGGCGGCGTTGGCAGAGAGCGTGGGTGACACTCACGAGCTCGACGAAGACCAGGTCATGCAGGACAGTCTTCAAATGCCTGCTGATGATCACCCCGAAGCCGATGACCCTATGGGTGAGGTGCAGCCGCCGCCCGGGGATCAGCGGAAGCGGAAGCGGGATGCTGACGATGAGGAGGAGATGGATGAGGACGATGAAGCAGACGCTCTCGCACAGGCGGAAGGAGATAGCGTGCGTACATTTGACAACTAAGTCTATATTGTCGCGCAGAACTAACCCTGCAACCTCTCCAGCCGCGACGCAGTAAGTGGATCAGACTTGAGGAGGAGCAGAAGGTACGCACCTCGTTAGTTCAAACATGAAGCATACACAGCTAATTCACTGCAAAGGCGGAGGAGGAAAAGCAGAGGAAGGAAAAGGAAAAGGCGGACAAGGAGAAGCAGCGGCAGGACGAGGAGAAGGAGAAGGAGAAGGCGAAGGCGAAGGCGAAGGCAAATGCGAAGGCGAAGGCAAAGGAGAAGGAGAAGGAGAAGGCGAACGCAAACGCAAACGCGAAAGGGAAAGGGAAAGGCGCGCAGGAGAAGGAGAAGGAGAAGGAGGGGGGGAAGGGGAAGGGGAAGGAGAAGGAGAAGGAGAAGGAGAAGAAGGGGAACGGGAACGGGAAGGGGAAGGGGAAGGAGAAGCAGAAGGAGAAGGAGAAGAAGCACAGCGTCGACAACGCGGTGAGCTTTCCTTGCTTCGACGTATTGTGAAGATGTACACTAACTACGGATACCTCCGCAGCACGCGTTGCGCCGAACGCCCATACTGTCAACACCACTGAAGCAGGAGGATGTCGAGGGAGACGATAAGGCCGCTCTTGAGCTTGTCAAGAAACGTTGGCACAAGCAGTGGCCAACTTACATCGTCATCAGCTCTGACGAAGAGGAGCCGGTGGTCAAAGACAAGCCTCATACAAAGCCTGTCCTCGAACCTCTGAGGTCTTTCAACGTAAGCTGTTCCTCCATGTTTTCAGAGACGCTTATGTTAATACTGGTGTAGGCGCAGGCCTTCGGTCGCTCTACGGGGCTCGGGAAATCAGTGTCGTCGAAATCGGCCGGCAAACCTCAAGTTCGCGCGGACGACCTCGGCAGTGGAGGAGCGTCTGGTTCTTCTCGGGCCGGGCCGTCTCAACCTCGACAAGAGGGCTCGGATATGGATGCCGAAGGTTCAACTGACGAAGGAGAGGTCGTATCACGTCCGCCACCACCTGCCGGGGAGAAGAAGAACAAGAACAAGAAGAAGAAGAAGGGTGGTGCCAAAAAGCAAAAGCGTGGCCGGAGCGAGGACACACCGCCGCCCGATGCAGAGAGCGACACCTGGTGGGGAAACTCGAGTGATGAGACCGCCAGCGAGCTCTCCGACTCGCTGAACATCAACAAGCCGATCAGGCTGGCTGAGAAGCAGTATTCCGATTTCGAGGAGGAGTGCATGCCATTGTGGGATGTCAACTTCACGATCCCAAAGTCTATTGTAAGTCCGTCTCACCATGTCAATGTTTCTAGACTCTTACGCATTCACGCAGAGGAACTATGGACGTGCAGTGGGCAAGGAGATCCAAAGTCAGATGGACCAGCGCATAAGGGACAAAGATTGGCCGACGAACTTCATCAAGTTCTACTCGATGGACGAGTGGATGTCCGAGTCGCTGGAAGATATCGAGGCCATGATGGGAGAGGGGTTTTGTTTTCACATTCGGGACACTGGATTGGACCGCGGCTGGGATTGGAACGTCAAGTCAGCAGAGAGGCTGAAGAGCGGCGCTAGCTTTGTAGACGCCCAGGGTAAGCTGGTCGCTCAGCAATCCATATATACAGCCCCTCACGCTTTCTGGCACTTATAGAATTCGTGAATCCCCACCACAACGGCGGCGTCCAACATTACTGGCTGCCTGTCGGCGACATGATCAATCCTATGCGCCGCGACTATACCAAGGTCGTCAACTGTTTGAACCTGCCTCTGAACGGGACCGTTGTTCCAATTCCGCGTCAGCAGTGCGTATTCCCATTGTCCATCGTCTCATACATCGCTGATCAATAGTTTAGCGAACTCGACATCGGCTCACTTGCATATCAAGCGCGCAAGGAGGCGGTCAAAGCGCGTCAGGAGAACCCTTCACGACCGCTCGGAGTGTTTGAGCTCGGCCTCGACGCTAGCGTTATCACGGGTCTCAACTGGTCAATCATATCTCAGGCGCACTCCTGGACCGATGGCCATGTCGACACCGCCGGGGTTTTCACAGCCATCGTCGTTCTCACTGGGGTCAAGTATTGGGCGATAAGGAAGACGTTGCTGACCGGTGACAAAGACGACGACATCGATGTGTTCGATTGCAGCTACTTCGAGGAACTTAATGACAGGGACCTCGACAGCCTTCCCGGTGGATCTGCGGCATGGGTAGCTGTGTTGCTCTTTCCGGGTGATATCTTGTGAGTGGACCTCGCGCTACTCGTGCACAGTGTCTTATGCCCTGACAGGATAATGCACCCAAACGCGCGTCACCTCGTGTACACGATCAAGGACTCGATGATGACAGGCATTCATCTATACCATCACCGGCAGCTCCTGCGCTCTGTGTGTGGGTGGACGATTGCCCGATTCTCGCACACGACGATCTCGAATGCGGAACATCACTGTTTCTTGTCGATTCTGCAATCCTTCTCGACGTTCTGGTGGCCGGGTTACAAGTCGCATGTGCGGGAGACATTGAGCGAGGACCACCCCAGTACGTTCGCCTCATTTCTATAATAAGCTGTCAGCTCTAACATCGGGACAGTTCTGCGCACTCTCCCCGACCCAAAGGAGCGGGAGGGTCTCGATTCGATCGTCGCGCTCGCGCTCGTCACCGTCTTCAACAATACCTTGTCGGGTGTTGCGAAGCCTTACCGGGGCGCATACTACACGAGCGACAGGAGGAGCTTCAAGAGCATATGGTTGCGTCTCACGGAGACCGGTTTCATGTCGGTCACATGCGACAACCTGCCGAGCGAGTTTTCCGTCTTGATGAAGAAGGCCCTGGGTCTCGGAGACCCGTCCATCAAACTCGACAACCGTTGGACATGCGCCGGGCTGACGCAGTTGCTCGTGCACTTCGCACGCGCACTGATCCAGTTGAGCTGCCGGTGGGCGGCCTACCAAGCCCCTGTAGAATGGGTGGCACACTGGCCGGAAGACCCAGAAGACCAGGAGGACTACGCATTCGATTCGGAGGGCGAGGACGCGGGGATCAACGAGGACGACAAAGACGACTACTGGCTCAGTCCCGCGAAGGTCCGTTCACGGGCGTTGATCGACTTGGGCAATGCGGTGGGACTGCCGTACAGCATCGCTTCTCAGCTGGTCGGTACTGTACACAGTTGCTGGGTTTGCTGCAAACCTGCTATGGTACCTCTCTGTAACTGGGTTGACGTCGAGGATGGGACGATCACGCGTAGGCCCAGCCTGTGGGATGCCCTCGACGCGCAGTCCTTCACGGAAGACGACCTCCCGGACGATGACATGGATGAGTGAGCAGGTGATCCGTCGACCTTGCATTGCGCTCCATACTGGCCCGTTCACGTATTTCTCAGTTCAACTACCTGCATCTCATCGTGTACTGTTACCCCACGGACTTCATCATGGTTTTCCAATTGCTTATTGCTCAACTTGCTGTACTTCATCTCTTCTCACCCACCTGTACAATACACTACATGTTACGTTTACTCACATGCTCTTAATGTTATGCCCATGCAATGACTCTTGAGGACAGCTGGTGAGGTATCGTAACTACTAACCTACATTCATATATGCGCCAGGTAAACAAAGGTAAACAAGCCCCCGCTGCCCTTGAAATGACCAGTGGGTTCTGATACCAGTAAACCAGATACTCCGTAGGAAACCACGTGATCGTGTCAGTGATTGGACATCACGCATGAGGCATTCGGCGGCATAGTGAAGAGGTGAGGCCACCTTGCCATCAACCACCACCACCATGTCTGATACCCGGCCTAGCTTTCCGCTCCCTGCGCTGGATGTACGGTGCCCTCCATATGCACCCGGTACACACTGGCTTCTTGTTCTTCAAGGAAGTTCTTGTCCGGCACAGCCCCCTATCTACTTCCACAACGAGACTTCATGCTCCGTGGTCGTGGACGATCAGGGTCGCTGGGGAGCTCACGAATGGCCCAGCTACCCACAGCTCTACGACAGCAGCTCTCCTTGGCTCGGCTACATACCTCTGTACCTCGACAATCACCACATCACACGGTCGACAATCCACCGCAAGATGATCGTACAGGCAGACAAGACGGAGAATCAGAAGGAGATGTTGCTGTGGACGGCGGAGCCCGAATTGAAGGAGAAGGTGAAGGAGTATGGAAAGGGTACGATCTCCCAGGCCGAAGGAATCCTGGATCGACTACGCCGCGATGCTGCTTTCGACGACACAGGCATTACTTGGCCTGCTGAAACGATCAAGCGCGCAACACATCTGTGGCGCCTGCTCGTTACAGGACTACCATCTGTGAATGCCTTCAAGCGCGCGCTCACATGCTTCCGACGCGCTACACTTGAGTTGGAGGGTTTTCACATGTGGTCGACCTTGATGCTGGAGCAGCCTAACAGTCGGTTCCGGATAGCATCGCTGCTCAAGAGCCAGCGCAACATTCGCTTCAGAGGTGTTTTCCTGGGGGGATCTCGCGGCGAATGGGAGCGTGAAGACTCAAAGTTGCTCAGCACGTACAATCACCTTTCCACCTGTGACATACCCGTGTACTGCTTGGTTAAGCAGACTGACTGGAAACTTCACGAGCACGAGATCCTGGAGGTTGGAAGTCCCGCTTTTCTTCCCAGTGCGCCGATTCAAGGTATGTATGCTCTTCTTATTCACTTAATCAGGTATTGATAGACATACAGAACGGGAACAGCACCAGCTACAGTACTACTGCTACCCACCGGCGGTCTCCTCAAGCACCTTCGAACGCGTGGCGCGGGGTTTGTTGCCCCACCCGGATGAAGGGAAAGTGGGGGCACTGGAAGATTTCTGGCTATTGAATACCCGTCGTCTGACGGCACAAAGTACGTGGAACAAATCTTCCTCTCTGAAATTGTACTCATTTGCCTCAACAGTTGAGCAACACAACGCTAGGAACGGCGATCTGTGGAAGAAGGCCGTCGGCGCGAACAAGCGCCCCCATCCTGAACTTCAGGCCAGGATTAACGTCACAAATGCCCCGCCGTCCTTCATGGCATTCTGGCAGCGCTCCGATGTCTTCAGTGCCCTACCACCGACGTACCTTTCGCCCGACATCGGCAAAGGAACCCTTCTTCCAAGGCCGAGCCAAATATGGGGCCTCAAAGCCGAACGTCGTGCTCGTATGCTGGAGACTTTGACCGTGATCTGGAAGTTGCTTCTGGTACGGCCTTGCCTGCTCAAGGAGAACGACCTTTCCGTGCAGCAGGCATACCTCAATGCGCAAGGCTGGCGCGATATTCTCAACCGGACCGCCTCTGACACAGTTCTCTCAGCCATGTGGACGGGCGGAAAGCTCGAACTCTGGGGCTCAAGGTTGCAACCCTCCGTCATACAGCGCGCTAAAATGATGGTCGCAGAACCGACGCTGGCCAAGATGGATTGCAACTCAAGATGCACTCCCCTCGGAAAGTTCGGAGACAAGGCGGACCCCGCGCACCTACTCGAGCACTTTGTGCTGTTTCGCTTAGTCGAGCTGCATGTTTTGCACGACTTCGCATCATATAACCCTGGTCTACAACGCACAGTGGACGGTCGCTGGTGTCCTCCGCCATTCGATGTGGACTCCGCTTTGAAGGATCGACCTGGAGCATTTGGGGAGCTGGCAATGAACGTCTCTGAGATGGAGCGGGAAAGCATGGAGGAGATTGTGGCGGTTGTGAGATGGAACGGTCTGGAAGGCGTGCGCGCTTGGGAGATGGAGGATGGTGTGTCGTACCGCAGCTGGCTGACGGCTTTTAGAACTCTGCTAGGCAAATGCCCAGGTGCCTGGACCAATAATCCGGTACTGGACGACATAATGAGCCGACATGCCGACTGGGATCTACCAACCGCCGACCTTCACAACCCGAGCGCACCAATTCCTCAGGTCACTCGCCTGCTGATAGGCACGCATATGCTACTGACCATGCGGGCTGGGCGGCTTCCTTGGCCTTTCTTCAATAAGCCTCAGCTCGACTCTCTTGAATGCCGCCACGACTCTTGAACTTCCATCACTGTACTCTTAAATATTGATCCTAAGTTTGCGATGTCGAGACACGATACCATCATGTTAATCCGCCGAGTGATACGATCGAATAGGCGCATATATGCTGAAATGAGTCAGGTAAGTTGATGACCGGTCTCCGGACACCTCGTTCTCGACGACTTCGCCGTCGGAGTAAAACCGCCCGGCTTCCGCACGTCTATTTGGCATGGCGACATAGATCACACGGAGGCCGAGAAGCTCATTGATGGCGCATACAGTGGCCGGTTTCCTTATATACAGAATCCCTCATGGAAGGCTCTCTCCCACAAACGACGATGTCCTCTCTGACCTTTTTCCGCAACCATCCTCTTATAGGGGAGTACTGGTACGTCTCCGCAATTCCGCTCGCACATATGGCTATGTCTGAGATACTTGCTTAGCGTGACACCGTCTGACATGATCAGGCGCAATGTCAAGGCGGATAGAACTGCCACCCGGCACGAGCGTCTGGGCAAGGTCGGAAACATGTAAGCTCTACTTGCTGCCGTCAACTGGTACACATCGCTGAAAGCTCACAGGGTCATGGTCAATCCGGACCCGGAAGAAAACCCGCGAGGTGATGCTGCCTGGTTCGCCATTGTGACCTGGATCCAGCCAGCTAGCGAGGTCCGTCGCAACAAGCCTCGCTTGGTACGTTCCTCCTCTCGCGACTATCTTCGCCCTCACTGATGTATTGTATAGTGCGAACTGTGGTGGATATATACACGCCAGCACCTTATAGACGTCGTCAGGGCTGCGAACGCGGAGAATAAGGACGAGTGAGTGCAATACATCTCGTACTGTAAAACAAATGACGAGCCGTACAGCCTGCTGAAGGAGATCAAGAGCTGCAACAAGAAGCAGGCATGGGTATCAAACCACTTCTCGGAAGAGCCACTCGACTCTATCTTTAGTGAGCACGATTGGCAATGCATACAGCATAAGTATACTGACTTCTCACCTAGCCATTCCTACTTACGGCGAGGTCAGTAACCGCATGCGCTTGTCGCTCGGACGGTATGTCAAGGTCGACGTGGAGAACGGGGTGTACAACTTTGTACACACCGAAGCCTAGATATAGCGCGCTCAGTACTGCTGCCTGTTCGTACAGCTGGTCAATGATGCTCTTGTTTATGTTCTACACGACGCTTTGCGCCCGCTTCGATTAGCTTACATATCTTCGGGAACAAGAATAGGAAGGAGGTTAAGAGTACTCATATATGATATTGTGTGAGGGCTATACGGTACGCATACAGGATATCGCGATCTCCTTGGCCGTTGAGCCCGAGATTCCCACGACCCTTCCGCTGGTCCCGACTTCGGGATCAGCGGAAGGGTCGTGGGAGTGCCGGGCTGATGTCATCAATTCTGCCACCTGTGCCACCTGTCCCTTCTTGTCGCCTGCTGCCACCTTATGTCTGCTTCATCTGAATACACACCGTTGTCTCCCTCGTCTGCTGGCCAGTTGGACACGCGCACACGCTGGGACCTCGTCGACCAGGTCACATTTCTCCTCCAGCGCAACGAAGAGCTGCATGACCTTCTCCGGTCCGCGAACACGGGCGCCGATGCAGTGCTCAACAAGAACCAGGAACTCCGGGAGTCCATGGCCAAGCTGCGTGCTGAACTAGATCGTGTATACAGGGAGATGGGCAACGAAGGGCAGCGGCAGACCGACCAAATGCACCTGGACATGGAGGTTGCGAGAAGGCAGGAGCGTATCTCTCGGCAGCACGCTCATCAAGTAAGTGTCGCGCATTTGTACCGCTTCATTACGGGTATGCTGATGGCTCTCTAGATTCATCTCTTCAAGACCGCTCTGCACATGAGCACCATGCTCATTGCGAGATTGGATGACCACCTGGCTCACTTCATGGAGAGCAGAGATGCGGCGAGAGCTGAGGTTACGGACCTTCAACTTCAGGTGCGTTGCTACTGGTTGGTTGTGTGCATGCAGCTGATGATGTTAATGACAGTTAGCTGAGCGGGATAGGACTATTGCCAACCTGCGCTCACAGCTGGCCTCTGCTGTAAGCCACCACACCCCATAGTCGTCCTGATAATTGACAATACCACAGTGATGATGAGGGATCTCTTACATGCTATCAGATATTAGTGTCGCGCTCTCATTTTTAGCTATCCTGCTGTGTATTTGTTTTATATCCTTTCGTCAATGCTATTGCTCTCGGTTCATATTGTTTTGGATGGTGCCCGTAAATCTAATAAACTGGCATGTCAAGCAGGGAAACTTGATATCAGTGGGTAGAATGGGAGTCTAAAAATGTGTTCTGATTGGATATTGTTGCTATGGGCATTTGTACAAGTTGCTGTAGTGCAATGGTCTAGTGTGTTCAATCTTAATAACAGGTAATTCACCCGGGTTGACGGTTCTATTCCTGCGGAGGCCATTTACCGTTGAGTTTTTTGCTTCCGAACCTACGTGAGAATAGAAGTATCTACCCATCACGATCGATGTGTTGCGCGCTTCTCTCGTCTCCTACCATCATCTCCAATGGATGCTGCATCTCTGCCTGCCAACACTCAAGAGCCCGTTCTCTCCGCGCCCCCACCGTCGCATGGCCTGGAAAATTCGAAGTTGGAGGGAGTTGTCGAAGACAACAGTGATGAGAGCACATTTGTAAGTCGAGGCAGATCGGTCCGTACATGTTAGACACGCTGACACATGGTCGAACAGATGCCTGAACTTCAGTTCTTTATACAAAACAACATTGCAGTGATGTTTCGAATGGAGGGGGCATTGGCTGAAATGCGCAGAGAGAGGGACATGGCTCGGGCCGAGGTGCAGAACCTCCGTCAACAGGTGAGCTACCCAGTCCTCCTAAGATGACACAGTCTATTGACAAGACATTCGAGCTCTACGAGAGAGATTGCGCAATCAAGGAGATTGCTGAACAGCTTACAGCAGTAGTGGCTCGCCTTTGTCCGTCAGAACCCTACATGTAGTATTTCATCTAGTTCATCGACATCCAATTTGTGCTTTCTTACTACACTCGCTGAGTGTTGATTGATAAAGGGTTTTCAACATCTCAGCTGACCGTACAGTTTGGCTTCAGGTAAGATCTAGCATGACATGAATATAGTAAGATCGGTGGATCACGTGGAGTGACTGAGATCAATGTGAGATCATTACAGCCATGCAAAGAAAAACAACCGATTACTGCAGTCAGATCCAGTCACGTTGACATACCAAACATACACAGGAATCAGAAGAGAAGGTAAAGATGTACTTATGGTATATTTGCTATACCAAATGATTGAGCAATTGATCGTATCATGGACAAATATCAGATCAGATCAAGAAGTCCCAACATGAACGGTTGGTGCGAACTTCTTTCCCAATCCGGCCAATTCTTCAGGCACGGAGTTCAGATCCCAAGGTAAATCAACGAGTCAGGGATGACTCGTAATAGCGAGGTTCTCCTTAGTCCCTTTACTGCCGAGGGTCAGGATCGAGGTCCGGAGCAGGAATGGTTCAATTCAGAGATGTCAGATACGTGGATCGCGGTCGAGCATGGCTATGGTGTAGTTCTAAACAATTGGCTCTTCCTCAACTGTACATCCAAACATCGGCTCTTCCTCTCCCCGATCGGCCACTACTATAGAGTCGCAGTCATACTTGCGAACATTATAAGCTGCTTATATCTAAATCAGGTATACTAAAAGTTTGAGCTTATACCCCCTTCGCTCGAAGACTACCTCCATGACTAGATAGATGTATAGCAAATTTTTGATCATACAATGTATCTTGTTCTGCACGGCCTGGCTGTATAACAACCCAAATGTTGCAAATGAATGTGTATTATCAATAAACAAATGTATGCATGTATGCAGCTATCTACTCAACGAAACCACTACACCGAGCAATTGTGCTCGGGTCTGTATACGAACTCAGGGTTAGGATCTTTCCACAAGTTTGAAGATTCATGTGAACGTGTATGGATGGGTGAGGAGGGTACAGTCATGGACCCATTGGATAAAGAAGAAGGCAAGTGGATTTGGCAATGCGATGAAGATGCTTTGCCGAAGGCTGGGGATGGTGTATGTAAGACATGAGTGGCACGGGAGGCATTGCGTGTCCAGATGGCATTAAGATGAGCATCGGCACTGGGCCTTGAGGGCGAGCGTACATGCGGTGAGAGAACAGATGCGAAGCCCACCATGGAATCCATATCCTCATCTCTCTCCGGCAATGGCAGGTGATGATATGAGAATGATGTATCAGCGTATTGGCTGGGCGATTCCTGAGCGCGACGCAAAGGTGCTGCATGGTTGGGAGAAGGCCTGTGAGGGCGGGGCAGAGGTGGAGAGTTGATAGGAGGCATACCCCTCACAAGAGCCTGCAACAACCCGTTGATGGTGTTGATGAGCTTATCGACGCTCGTTTGATGCCTCTCGTGACTCTTGCACACAAAATCCCGCATACTATGGTGCTCTTCAGCAGTCGTAGACAGTGTTGTCTCCAGCAAGTCAGTGGCACAATCTGATGGTCGAGTGGCAGCAGTACAGTACCACTTGGCTGGGTGTTTGCAACAAGCACGAGGAGAGTGTGTGACAGACCGAATGCGGCGAGCGCCCGGTGTTGAGTTCAGTGATGATAGCACTGATTGTGGGCTAGCCAGCTCGACATGTGTGTGGCAGGCCATCCGTGACAGATTGCGGCGACGAGAGTGCATGGGAGAAGCCGCGGACGCTTTGCACTTGCCCTTCTTGTGCAGAGGTTCCGGTTCATCGTCACTCGAGGACGAATTTTCCATCTCTGATGCCAACGCCTCATGTGCAGAGCGCCTCGAGCCGGCCAACAGAAAGGTGCGCCGCTTCATAGCCTCACCAGCCTTCTTCTTCTTCGTGTCTTCCTAAAGCCACATGTTAGTTGAAGGAGTGAGCGAAGACTAGTGGGCGACTTACCACTGCTTGTGCCTCGGCTTCCTCGTGGGACAGTTGCTCGTAGTAATTGCGGTCCCCAACAATCCTTTCTAATGTTGAAGCTGCAGCCGTACAATCGCGGTCGGTCATCTTGACGCCCTCTGCCTTCTTCCAAAGTGAGACGCGGTTGGGATTCTATCAGTGCATCAGTGATGTATCAGACAAGGTGCAGGAAGAGTTGTACATCCTGTAGATTGCGCATAGCGATACACTTGTCCATATACTGCTTAAAGGCCCCCGGCTTGCACACAGTTGAACATCAAGTACCCAACCCGCATAGCATCATCACAGCCCTCGCCATATATCTGCGAGAGCGGTGCCATAAGAGGATTGACCACACCGACCGGTACGCGGTTTCCGGATGGTTGCCAAAATGGGGGAATCTATAAGAATGTGTTAGTGAACATGTTCAGATAGTTGAAGCTCAATGCTTACAGAATAATTGGCCGCCTGTGTGTATGGGGCAGAGCCTTCAAGAAGGGAGTTGGCAAAAGAAGATGGTCCATTTTGCTAATGTATATGTCAAAAAAGCTAGTGGAGTAGTATTGAGCACGACATACTGTTACAGTCCCGTCAGAGTCCTGGCTGGTTGCAAAAGCGCCTGGCTTAGTGATTGCTCCGAACGAGAAGCAGGGGTAGGGACCTTGTGAGTTTCACTGTCAACACGAGAAGCTTGTATCTCAGCGCCTGTAGATATACTCACCTGGCTAAACCGGGCTATGCGAGAGACAAGATCCCTGGACTCAGTCAACGGAGTCCGGGAGGAAGCCCGAGCTTGAGAAGATGGCCTCTCAGATGGCCTCAATTCGTGATGGTTATTGTTATGATTTGACGACATATTCAGTTGATACCCTTACCGACCACCTTGCCCGCAACTCTTATACTCATGATGCCCAATTTCGAGGAGAGTATTATTATCATCGTCTACAGCTCCCGATCTACGCTAGTGAGGACACTCCATGATTTTCTCCTCCAAGATGACAGAGTGGTGATGAACAGTCTTGCCTTTATAGCAGCTAATACCAGTCCTGAACTGCCTGTAGGCTTTGTGCTGAGCTTGTACTGAGCACTGACAGCAGGTGGCTAGCAGCAGGTGTAATTGCTGTGTGATCGCATGCCGAGCGGTCCACTGCTGACCATCTTTGCCTGGAGACATGTGGGGCTTCCACCATCGAGCTATGACTGCGCCCGAGCTGTCCGACGTGTAGGGACTAAAACGGTTGGCGCTAACCGCGGTTTCCCACCGCACCGCTCCGTTTTAGACGCTAACTGCGGCGGGCGCCACCGCGGTGGGAAATAACCGCAGTTTAGTCAGACTGGCAACGGCTGATGATTTTCTGCGGCCTTGATGGCTGGAGACGAAGCATTGCCATCCGGCTATTGAACGTTTGACGTATATAATCTCGCCTGTTAAGGGGTCTATGGGCCGTAAAAAGTACTCGGAGAAGGCGGTGGGGTCACTGCGCCCGTCTGCCAACCAAAGACGGTTCCAAAACTTCACAAAAGTCGGGCAGTTTACCTCAAGAATGCTCTTAAAAATGGAGAGATATTCCCAACAAGTGCACCCAAGATCGTAAAACTCGAGTTCAAGCAGCTCTAGGTAAGTATACTCCGCGAGATACTTTCAAGACTGATTCGGGATGCGTATCGATGACACGGAGCTCGAGTACGCGTGCACCAGCAATTGCGCGACCATCATGTGACCGCGATCTCACTGTAGACAGTGCAACTGCGGTTTTCCACCCACCGCGGTCAATTCCAACCGCGGTGACATGTTCCGCAACTTAATACGGTGGACCCACCGCGGAGCTACCGCGGTGTTCCGTTTTAGTCCCTACCGACGTGCCACAGCTCTGCATAGCACCAACTCTGTCTGTGTGGCACCGTCAAAAACAGGCGTGCAAAATCTCTCTAATGGGCTCCTCAGAGCCACTACTAAACTGGCAAGGACAATGAGCAAGTTATAGAAGTAGAGATAGATTGACTAGTCATATATTCAGACTCTCTATAGGCTATTCTGGGATTTCAATCTTTTTGTTATTTATCTCAAACTCCAAGTACGGACTGAGTTTACACTATGAGCAGTCATGCTACACCACTCTATGATTTTACATGAATTAGGCCTCCTCTATACAGGTACTCTAGTGTCTAGCCAAAGAGAGCAGCTTGGTGGACAAAGGCTTGGTGACATGTGACATGTGACGTGACGTGATACCCTCGTCTGCCGCGAGACGGTCTTGCAGCAGACTAGGGCTCCCTCATGGACCCATACACATCCACAAATGCTCTGAATAAGTAATGCTACCCATGTATCAGCTTGTACTATGAGCCTGCCGTCTCAATATGGCTGATATTACCTCGAAAAAGTTTGTGGATGTATATGGGTCCATGAGGAGGCCCTAGTCTGCTGCGAGACCGTCTCGCGGCAGACGAGGGTGTCACGTCACGTCACATGTCACATGTCACATGTCACCAAGCATTTGCTCACCAAGCTGCTCTCTTTGGCCAAACACTAGGATGTCAATGTGTAGACAAATACACATGAACCAACAGCTGTGAGTCTAAGAGCATGACAAATGGGATTTGACTACTCAGAACTTCTCAGGGGAATAGAGAGCATCATGTGTTTGATCGGAACAAGGCATCTAACCAAAATGGGACGAATGGAGCCTTTTGGGAGCAGTGTGAGAACCAAAACCTAGACAAAGAACATGACATATAATGATATGTACTCTAGTTACAGACACAGGGAAAGTTGGTATGAGTTTGAGATAGTATGCTCTACATGATGGTATCAAAAGTAAGAACAGATGTGCACTCAATGAGCTAATTAATTAACCCAAATGCAGACATTAGAGGTCTTGTGCCTGAAAATGAGGCCCTCGAGCGCAACCCCACCTCCATAAAGAACGGTGATTTATTAGCATAAATGGCCCGTAACATTCACTCATTCAACACAATCGGTGATGCGAGAGAAGTACTATTGGCCAACTTGAGATGGTGCAAGGACCACTCTGATATCTTTGTGGAGATTTCCGGCCGTGTACTCATTCAGGCTGTATGGAGTGGTTTGGGTACACATGCACGTTGACAGTTAAGCTCGTGTAAGACTATAGATGAACCCTAACCTCTAACCTTAAGTGTTACCCGTTACCAGCAGTTAAGTTTGGTCAGAAACAGGTTCATTTCGCGTCGCCGAGCATCACAACAAATCTATTCAACCGGCATGAACCTCGGGTCGGCCGTCCGAACTTGCCGGCCCGAACGCCGGGTATGTACTGTCTTATTTCGACCCGAAGTTTGTAACACGTAACATGGACTTTGGGATCAAACTTACTGTAGGTTCAGTCGTGTAACAGTCACTCGTCAAACTCACAAATATTATCTAGCGTTCAGACCGGCCAGTCCGGAAGGCCAAACCGAGGTTCATGCTAGTCAAATAGGTTCGTTGTGATGCTCGACAACGCAAAACAAACCTATTTCTGGCCAAACTTACAGCCTGTGACGGGTAACACTGCAGAGGAGCAAACTTAGAGTCAAAATAAGACAGTACACCATATGTTTGTCACAACCAGTCAGAGGGCTGTGTCTCAGTGAGTACTCAGTACCCACATTCATGTTTTCAGGTTTGAGTGATCACATACCCAAATCATGTTCTTCAATAGCAGTCTGGACATTCTGGTCCAGCTATCCGTACACTCTGGTCCGGACATAGGAACATCACTATCATCACTTCTAGATATGGGCTTCCGCATGTCCAGATATGTAGTCTGACATGTCCAGATATATAGTCTGACATGTCCGGATGTCTGCTCTTGGTTAGACAGATGTCCACGTCCGGCTGTCCGGACGTCCATGTCTGGCTGTCTGGATGTCCATTTCCGGACATATAAGGGAGGATATTTTGAATTCCTTTTTGGTAGAATCAGTCTCTAGCTCATCCTGCTCTCACACAGTTCAATTTATATACCAGGGGCAATTTTATAGTGATATCAGCATGATTTTGATTTTATATATCATTTTCCTCCTCTTGATTTATCAATGAGACTGCAGTAAATGATTAGTTACTGAAGACCTCTGCTCTGGAGTCCTTGACTCAAAGGTATTGGCCGATGATATCTCAATTTGAATGAAATCTCCCTTGGCTCCGGGACTTATTTGGGATAGAATTTTATAGACAAGC